TAAACCCTTTGAAGCCTACAAAATAGGATACTAAAACATTATGTATAAATTACGAAGCTCCTAATTAACTACTTTGCTCACAGCTAGCTACTGCGCATCAATGACATGTATGTATCAAGTCCAAGAGATTAAGGACAATATAAAAACAACATACTCTGTCCCCCCTCCCACCCATCCTCTTCCAACTCCATTGACTTTTTATGCATCTACTCACCCACGGGTCTTTTGACGGAAATGCACAATGCAACTCAAAATATAAGAGCCAGAATAATTCTTCAGTAAATCACCTGTGGTTCTCGCTTTGTACCTACTACTCTTCTACTTCTCCTCAACTTTACAACTTCCAGACAGTAAGCTCTTTGGATAGGTGACATTTTATGTACAACAGGCATACAGCTAGTTTTAAAAACGGAGTACAAGTCACTACAGTTTATAAGCCAATCTACAGAAAAATTAAATTCCCAATTACAGCCATCGTCAGCATAGTCACATCTCCAGTGACAAAATCTTGCCTCAGAACCATCACATTATAAAACACTTCTACTATTTAGCATCTGGAATAAATTTTCACAGCAAAACAATGAAGCCTGTGACAAAGGCCAAGTGCTTTGCCAGGAACCCAGATTCAGCTAACCCTTGTTGAGCCCCCACTGCTGCTACCACGCAGACATGGTTTTCGGACCCCCTTCCTTGCTGTGCACCATTTATGACAAGCTGTATTTTTCACTTGGTAATGCTCAGGATCGACAGTTACTGACCCTGGCACTGGTACCACTAACCACATGTTCTCCTAGTGACTGCATCAGTTGCTTCAAAATCACACAAACACACAGGGACGTTAATACCCTAACTGCACCATGAGGGTTTCATTAGAAAAGTCACGGTGAGAGAATTTTGCCAATTTGATTTTTTGCTTTCAACTAAGATAACAGTTCAAAGAGAAAAACTATTAGATTATTGTGCAAACTGTTTTAAGACATCTCAGGAAGGTTTCCAATGACGGGTTTAACTAAATAAATGCTTATTTCACCTACTTTTTCTCAGAACTTTAATCTTTTTTTAGACCAGAGCACTCACTACCTCACCTCAGCCTTAAAAATGTGTTTAAACAAATCTGTTCTTCATCGAGAGAAAAAAAATACAATAAAAATCAGCTTAAAATAAATTTATTAAACGGTACAAAAATAAGCATGCTGGAAATCGAGATACATAAATAACATACAATGCAAATGAAAAATGGAAAATGAGACAGGTAACTTAACAACTGAGCCAAAAGGTACAACACAAATGCTAAAATAAAATTTTAAAAAGCATTTACATTTCTAATGAAATGTTAATGATGCTGACAAAGAAAAACGAACAAACAGCTAAAATGCTTGAATATCAAGAATTGCTATTGCTGTAGCACAGGTGAACACTAAAACCGTTGCAGACTTCAAACATTCAGTGACTAGCCTCTGTTGTTTTGGACCAGGCAGGGTGGGGAGGTCGTCGTGGCAGACCCCACTGTGGTCCCAGCTCCCCGTGTCCCCTGCCACGAAGCAGGAACCACCTGCAGACGTGGCAGGCCACAAGAAGAAACTGGGAGTGTGTGCAAGTTACACAGCAATTGGTCCAAAGGAGTCTCCTGATCCCTCCTAACTAGAGGCTGGCTTAAATTCTGAGGCAGGCTTCAAAAGCATATATTACAGAACTGTAATATATATATATCTAAAGTAAAGACTGTGTAAGCTGTACCCTAAATATTCTTATTATGCATATTAATGATCTAGTATTTTCCTTAAGTTTTACTTCCCATGCAGAACTTGCCTCTACCACAAGTTTTGTATGTAACTGACAAATATAAATAAGGTAAATATTTTTATTTTCAAGTTGAAACCCAGATGGAATAGTTTTCCATCTTCAACCATGTTTTTAGAATCTGCTTTAAATAGTACTAAAATTAGAAAAATAATGCGTGTAGAATTAGATCAAGCAAATCCTGCATCTTACATTTTCCTTTTTTAATCAAATCAGTCATTTAACCAGCAACATGTCATTGCTGTAAGTACTTTTCATTAGCAGCATGGACACATTGTTCCCTCGTGTAACTGAGGGCATTTCAGGTAAAGACACTGAGTTTTGCAGGACCTGAGGATTCTTTACCTCTCTAACTACTACTAGTTTTCCATAAAATCCTCAAACAGATGAGACATTTTTATAGTTCAAGACTTTACCTTTACTTTGCTGAATTTTCAAGGTGAGAACTGACAAACCTAATCTTACCATCAGAAATAAAAGTATCTGCTCTGCTCAACATTTTAGCCCTAGGCTTCAAAGACAGGAAGCCCATCCTTTAACAATACACTGCAAGACAAAGATTACTCAGGGTTTAGTCAGAGCTTACTTCAAATGTTTTTGCAAGACTAACAATACCTAAAACAGAGTAATTAATAACAGCTTGCTCTCTCAGAGAACATCAGCTCTGCTTTATGCATCTTCCTGGGTTCAGGAACATCCAAATGGGTCAAAAAAGGGGCAGGAAAAATGTAACTCTCCCCTTATGCAAAACTCACCTACGAACAGCCTTTGGAGTTTTAGGCACAATAAAAAGGGGGAGGGCACAGCGACAAAGGGCAGAGATGTTACTAAGAAATTATCTGTCACTGTCTCTTAAAATCCTCAGTGAGCTAAAACCATTTATCATTACTTGGACAAGTTTTCCAGTCTTATAAATGAGGACTCTACACGGTGTATACTGGGGGTAAGATATATCAAACTATCTGCAAACTTATAAAGGGGAGACCTTCATGGTGGAATTTAGCAAGCCTGTGCCCTCTGACCAGCATAGACTATTGAGCCTGTTCAAAGCTCACGTACCTCATTTCAAGCTTCAACCTTCTTAAGTACTTAAAATTATCAAAATTATGCAGATGAGCAGATGCAGTTGCCTGCAGAAGAAATGCAAATCCTGTTCCTTAGCAAGCTGACAGAGGTACAAACTCCCTCTCATTTTAAAAAGTAGCAATTAATGATAACTTCTAAAAAATTTGCTGATGTGGAAGGAAATGAAACCTCTAGTCATATATATGTCCATGGCCACATATTAGCAGTTGAAAGATAAGTTAATTGTAAACAATTTTAATAACATCTACTTATCTGCTTTACTCTGAATCTATTTCCTGCTCACTACTCCACCACTGTGAACCCAAGACTGCTTCCATTCCTCTCCAGGGTGGAGCACTGCATTATTAGTAAGGCAGACTTCTGAGTCATAACTACCAGCTGGCAGCACAAGCAGCTAGCAACACACTCAGAATAGTTTGGCAAGAAATCTTTCTGCTGCTTTAGTTAACTTGCAAACAAGCCAGGTATTTTCCCCCCCTTCTCTCTGTCTTCCTCAGACATTTCTGCTCTTTTTATTTAAATACTAGCATTATTATTATTATTAAAGGCATGATTAAAAAAAAAATTCTTCACTAGCATGACATATCCAAAGGATCCATTTCTGTTCAAAGCAATTTGAAAGCTCATATTAAAAAAAAAAAGTAATAACATGATTCAGAACCTTCTCCACTTAATATACAATTATTTAGAGATTGATGGATTTGCTGTATTTTGCTGAGACTACGGTACTTTATATTTCAATTAAAATTCTATCTTTACATGCTGACCCTGATCAGAAGACATATTCTAAGTTCTTGCTTAGCTCTGAAGTTAACTTACTTAAAAACTTCTAAGATATAATCAAAAATAAACAGATATACACAAAAGTGGTATATCTTTGAAAACATTCAGGTGAACTTTTTTTTTTTTTAAAGCAAATGTGTTTTGAGTAACTACAAATGTCAGTTAACAGTTTTGGGGTTTGTTGTTTGCATGTGCTCCTTCCCTGCCCCCCCTGAACTTGACAGCCTTTTTGGTATAGCATACAGAATTTACACAAAACGTATATATAGACGAAACACCAGGCAAACAATATTCAAATCAAAGTTAAAACTAGAGATGCTCAAGGGTTTTTTAAAATGGAGGATTTAATGAAGCTAGAACCCATGCGTCTAGTTTTGCTCTCCCCGACCTTCCATTCTATACACTATGGTTCTGGAGATGTCCTCGTTTGATTCAGGTGACACTTTTTTCCATACTGTTTCTTTTAAAGCAAGTTCTTGCTGGAGATTCTCATAGTCCATTGGTCCAAAGGAATGCTAGTTGTTCAAGCAACATACATTATTTATTAGTGTATTTGAAGGAAAAAATCCATACTTGCAGTCAATGCTAACAGCCTCAAGTTCTTCACCTCTTCACATAAACAGTTATTTTCTCTTTTCCAGTTATAAAAAAATCAAATTCCAAATTGGAATTTCTTAAGACATACACATGCAGCTAGAAGCAATTTCTACTGTCTCTTCTCCTATTGAAATCTTTATGCCTTAGTTAAAGCATTAGCGGCAATAAAAGGAAAGAGGCTTTCCTTATCTCAAGCACCCTCACACTTTTATCTTTTGTACAGGTAGCTGGAGTGGGTTCAGTTCATGCCCAGAGATTGCTTATACTGCTTCCTTAGTTACAGGCACTTGGCTCCAGCACTGGAATGCCTGAATTCACTGCCTGTGCAGCTCCAGCAAGTCCTGTGGTCTCAGAGAGATCGCTGTGAAAAACGCTCCCATACAGCTCATGCACTGCAGCACAGAACAGAAAGGCCACGCCCACCAGCTGGTCCAATCTTTATTAAAGGCCACCAGTACAGTAAAACTCTTTGCAACTGTTACCAGATACCACACGCTTTGTCTCACAAGGGAGATAAACTGCATGAAAAGGAGCCACCTATCTGAAAGGAAACTCTACTAGACAAACCCCTCAGATAGCGTGGTCCACCCAGGGAAGTGTCCACTAATGATGCCAACTAAAATAGCTTATCTGAGAGCTCTGATGCAATACATGTCATTGAGCAGTTTTGCATTTTGAGAAGAACTTGCCATGTTTCTACAAGCAGCACTGAGTGACCACAGAAATGAACTTACCCGCTGGTCACCACCTTCCCTGCGAGGATCAAGCTTTTTGGCAAAGTGTCTCAAATTGTCGTAGTTATGGAAATTGCACAGAGAAACCAGATCCTGCAGACACCAAAAGAACACTCATCATTATTTGCATGTGATAGCCAAATGCATATGAGATTATAGCAGTACTACCACTTATGTTTTACATCATATCCTAGTAACTTAAACTGGTAATAAGAGAAGCTTATTTAATAAATCAGGACCAATGTCTGTGAAGCACTTTGAACACAATATAATGATATGATTAAGTTCTAATGACACCTTTAAACTCCTTTAAAAGGGTAAAACACAAATAGCAAATATCTATTTTAACAGATTTCTACTCCAGCTGTATGAACCTCTTCAGGAACAGAACAACAGTCTGGGTTAGTCTAGTACATAAAGCTCCAATCAAAAGGATGAAACAAGAAAAATGTGTAACAATGGATTGTAATTCAGTTTGAACTACAATATGAAAGGTTATAATTTCTGTAACTTGCTACCTTGTTGCATTTTTAAGAGTGAATAGTACGTTCACGTTACTTTTATGCCATGATCATCTATTAATTTTTAGGTCTCATTATAAACAGAATAAATGCAATAAATCCTGCAAATACCTATTGTTCTATGGTTTCTCTATTTAAATTATCAAGACTATTTTATATGAAACTTTAAATTACTTAAACTAGAACGAATAACTTCTTAGTACTCTTAACTTGCATCTGTACAAATGTTAGATAAACACATGAGAAGTTTTAACTGCTGCTCATCCACACAAGCTAAGCCCTTGCACACCGTAAATCCCACACTGGTGTCAATAACCCAAGTGAAGACAAGTCATGCAAGTGCTCTCTCTAGGAACTGAAGTCCATCCAAACTAGTATCACTGCAGCTTAAATGTCACCACACTACTTAAAAAAAAAGAGGAGTGATTTAAAAAAAGCCTATTTATGCCTTCAACTTCTAAAACACTACCAACCGTCATTCATTTCCCTCTTTCCAAAAGAAGTCAACACTTTTTTCTTCTTTTCTTCTTTCCAAAAGACAACATTTTTTTACATTCTCAAATGACTTTATTCATATTTAGACAGTACTCTATAAAAACCTCCCCTGCTGCTAATGCTGTTATCAATAGATTGTCCATAGCCCTTTCAAAAGCAAGAGCTGAAGCTAGGAGGAGCTTGCCCAACAACTGGGTGTGATCCACAAAGATATGCCAGACAGTTCACAGAAACTGATTTTTAAAAATTACATCAGAACAGCAATACTTCATTAGAATGCTTTTTCTTTTATCATAAAGAAATGAGTTCCATTTTCAATGTTTGGAAAATTGTTTACTCTATGACTGGAGAGGAAAAGAAGGCTGTAAATAGAAGTCTACTGCTTCTAAGGCAGTGCACCATAGACCAGCTCTTTCATTACTTCATGAAGTGTTCCTTTTCAAAGCTTTTCCACAATAAATCTCTTCAGTGTTTCTGACATAATATTTTCTTAATGCTCACTGAATTAAAGTGTTATTTATTACTAAAATGAAAATGTCTCTCCTTGAACTTCCACCCTTGGATCAGATGCAACTTGCTATGTACGTGGGAGTAGCAAATCACTACTGAATTCATTTAAATCTCAGCTATACTAACCAAAGCTCAGTAAACAACAGCTGCAAAGGAAAAAAAAAAAAAAACAACAACAAAACCAAAACCCAAACAGTCAAAACCACTAAAGCAATGCTGCTTACATGACAAAAGTGAATTCCTTTAACACTGTTGCCCATCTTGTCCAAAGGAGGTGACCAGCACATCAAGCCCATGACATTAGGAACAACCAGAAGAATCCCACCAGCAACTCCAGATTTTGCAGGAAGACCAACCTGCAGAATAATTACAGAATTATTGTCTTCTGCAAACATTCTTTGCTACTGTAACATAATGCATTAGCATTTTACTAAAAGTAATTAAACAGCATTTATAAAATGTAGATCTGGAAAGCACTTTAACCTGGGAACACAGGATTACTTATCTCTTTTTAGAGAGACAAGAACCTGAAGCACAGTTTGTGGCAATCCGTGGCACACAATCATGGAGTTATTTGCTCTTGGTAACAGAGAGTAACACAGTGAAAAAGTTAATTTAAATATATTAATTAAAAGCAATTACAACCAAGCAGTAGTACACAACCGTATCAGTAACATTTGCAATAAGGCAGTAGTACAAAACTATATGTGAAAAAAAAAAAACAGTTTTCTTGACTGAAAACAGCAAAATCCAAAAACCTAGTACACAACCGTATCAGTAACATTTGCAATAAGGCAGTAGTACAAAACTATATGTGAAAAAAAACCAGTTTTCGTGACTGAAAACAGCAAAACCCAAAAACCCAAGAGATGAGACGAGTCTGTCCATGAAATCATACAATAACCTACTTATTTACAATCTGGATAAAGGTACTGCTTTTTTCCAATGGGAACTAACATGTCCTGTTACAGTAGTGTGTCCAGTTTTGGGCACCTCAATACCAGAAAGACCTCGAGGTGCTGGAGCAGTTCCAGAGAAGGGCAATGAAGCTGAGGAAGGGTCTACAGCACAAGTCTTAGGAGGAGCAGCTGAGGGACCCAGGGGTGTTTAACCTGAGAAAAGGAGGCTCAGAGGAGACTTTCTTACTCTCTACAACTCCCTGAAAGGAGACTGTAGTGAGGAGAGTGCTGGTCTCTTGTCACAAGTGAAAGGACAAGAGGAAATGGCCTCAAGTTGTACCACGGGAGGTTTAGGTTGGATGTTAGGAAAAATTCCTTCACTGGAAGCGTTGTCAAGCCCTGGAACAGGCTACCCAGAGAAATACTTGAATCACTATCCCTGGACATGTTTAAAAGTCATGTAGATATGGTGCTTAGGGACACTGTTTAGCAGTAGACTTGGCAGAGTTAGATTAATGGTTGGACTTGATTACCTTAAAGGTCTTTTCCAACCAAAATGATTCTATGCCACATATCCTCACAGCTCTGTAAGCAATAACTTTTAGGTCATGCAATGCATCATGCTGCATTTTACATGTGTGCAATAAGGAAAAACTAAAGAAAGCCCAAAACAAAATGCTGAAAACACAATTAAGATGTAGTACATGTTGAAGTATTTGTAAGAAACTTACTGCTGGAAAACAGAAGCATGGTACATATGCTGTGTATGACAGCCACTTTTACAACACATGAGAAGAATTCATGAGCCTAAGTTAGTGAAGAAAAAGCAACCATCTGCAAAGGCTTTCTGCTCTTCTTCACTCCTATGTAGCAGGATTTCTTTAGTTATGCTCTTTCCAGTTACATCTGCATCATGACCCGTTTCTCTCATGAACAGCATTTCTGTTTTGACAAGAGAAGAACTCCCACGTGTGAAGTGGCAGAGAACAGCCAGTGCTGTAAGGTATGCTGTACCACTAGTGCCATGAATCCTAGGTGACATTTTCCCATATGGCGTGCTCAATTGCTAAACAACTCGTATAAACACCCTCTCCTCTCCCCCCAGAAGCAAGCAAGCAAGCTCTGGAACACAGAAGACAACAGCACAGATTAATCTTCCTGGTCAGCTATAATTTATATCTGAAAAATACTTACATGGAAGGCAAACTGCCCTGAAAAGTCATACATGCCACAGGAATGCATTAAGCTCAAGGTATTCCGGACTGCCTCAGGACTCAGCACTCTTTCACCAGTGATAGGGCAAAAGCCACCGTTAGCCAGAGTTGCTGCCATCACACTTGCTGATTCACACGTGACTTCTATTGAGCAAAGCTTATGGAAAAGAAATAGAGATTATAAGCACTGACACTTCTAGCACAGTAAGTCCAACTATAGCAGGATCAGCAATATGTCTCTACAGAAATAACATCTCATCAAATAACCTGTAGCATAATGCTTGTTACGGATGATGCTAGTTGCATCAATCAATATGGTCTGAATCTTCCTGCTATAAAGAGCCCAGCGACAGTGTTTGTAAGCCCTCTTAACAGTTTTGCACAGTATTTTTGATAGGTTTGTGTCTCTGCTCGATTCCTCCCCCCACCCCCCTTATGTTCCTTTCAAGAGGAAAAAGTCTAGAAAACAATCTCAGTATTTTGCATCTGCTTAAATGGCAAAGCCACAGAACTACTGTTGTTTTCAATCTGAGTTTGTTTCATGTGGGTTTGGTTTTTTATTAAAGCCTTAGAAGACCCCACTCATTATTAAAAGTACATTTGAATGCTGCAAACTCTATCACATGCAATCTTAATGCCAGCACTTCCTTCTGATGCAGCCTTATTCCACCTTTCTCTCATACATACTTTATGATATATTAATGATACAACCACACGATAGTTTCTCCCAGGATCCCTGCTTCAGTCCAGACTATACATACTTTGGAGACACATCAGGAAATGTGATATGATGCCATCACCTGATGCTGCCTCATTTCTGCAGAAACCAAAAGATAAGCTGGTTTCAACCTGAAATGCTACTCTGAAAAGTAAACAAACTAGCACTCGTACTCTTGCTTTTGCCAACAGTGATTACATGATACTTCATGAAGTTACCTAAGCCAAGTTTGCATGAGCAGTTACTACCTGGAATTCTTATTTTCCGGGTGCCAAACTCAATACATCCTAGTCCAACCAACTGGAGTTGCAAATCAAGAGATTGTCAGAGACGCATCTAAAATGGCAACTGTGTTTTAAACATATGAAGTATTACATAATATCACCTACTTTGAAAAAAAGTGTTTCTAGGTTCTCAGTTTAAGCACCTGCATTTTCTACCTTGTTTCTCTAAAATGAAAATAATCCACCCTCACCTTATAGAGATAATAAAAAAAGTTTATTCCTGCTCAGAAAGTTCCAAATTACCCATGGGAGAAACCCAAAGAAAAGAAATAACTAGCCTTTTAAGAAGAATCTGAGGAGTGTTGGAAAGTAAGCACTGTACAGTGAAAAGAAAACAGAATTGCTGCTCATGTATGAGCTGCCCTTTTTCTGAGTATGGAATGGGAATGGGATTTTACAAGGGGAAAAAAAAGAATAACATGCAGTCATGAAATGAGAGACCACAATGCATGAAAATGAGGCCAAACTAAAACATATCAGAAAAGTTAGTTTTGGCATTTCTTAACTGACAAACAGCTTTGCACTCAGAAGCATATCAGGAGTCAAGGCAGTGGGACTGGAAGCATGTAAAGAGTATGTTTAAACAGTAAATTCAAATAAATTATCATTTTTGTTCTGCAATAACAGTAGTTCAGAGGAGACTATTGGCTTGTACCTAGATTCCAACTAATGCTAAACACATACATCTTACTTCATAAACAGTCATTCTGTCTAAAGACCAGAGCAGGTGCATCCCAACACAAAAAACTCAGATAAAATTTGCATTAAAAAGAATTGCTTATAAATTGCATAAGTAGAGCAAGTCTCATGAATCAAAACCAGATTCATTTTGAGGACTAAGGCCTAGATTTATTTTTTTTAAAACTATCCCAACCAGCCTGAATCAGCAACACAACTCAAACTGCCTCTTGAGAACTATACAGAGCAGAGCTGACAAAGTTGTGAATGTTTTAACATTAGGAAACCCTTACTGACAAAATACCTCACACTTGCCAAGTTTTCATTTTGCAACAGTTGCAATAACTTGCTGAAAATGAATGTGGGAAAAAAAATGGGAGAGGGAAGAATACATGTGACTAGATTCTTTGTTCTACTCAAGCATTGAATTAAACAAAATAAAAGATTTTCATATCATTTCATTTACAACACTACCTTTGAGCTTACAATACAGCATGCACACACTTTCTTGGTTACACATGGAGTTTAAAGTACTTCACAGTTCAACAAAAAGCAGCAACCCAAAGAAGCAGAAATATTTTGTCAGTCACTGAAGCAATACAAGAGATTTTTAAGCTTCTACCTACTAGTGTTTTAAAAACTATTGCTATTTTGTACTTGCAACAAGGACACCTAAGTACATCACCTAAAAAAAGCAAATCTGGATACATCAAATGTGCACCACCCATTTCCAAAGTTTAACAGAAGCTGACAAGTTTAACTACAAGCCATTAAAACCTTTGTATCTGTGAACAAATTAGCTTCCACTGCTTGCAATAGTAATTCTAAGTCTATAATGAGTCTCAAGGTTAAAGACAGTTACCTGAAAATAGAAGTCTAGTATAGCAACCATATCTGTGCCTTCAGGAAAGCACTGAGGAAGAAAAATACAGATAGTCTTTAGGTACTTTTTTATTTTAAATATCACTTTTAGAGAGACATAAATTAAGCTATATTCTTGGCAGCATATTAAGCATTAAACAGATTTTAAATTAAGTATTTAAATTTAACAAACAGAAATATTAAGTCACATCAGCTTTAAAAATAACAGTGCAGTGAGGTCAATAGGCCGGGTATTAAAATATTTTTCAATACAGCTTTCAAGATCTTTAAATCAGCAAACTGCAAAATGCATCAAGGAGTTGTATAAAGTGACCTGTACAGCACCAGTTATGCCTTTTACAACAAATAAAACAAATGATCATGACTACAATAAAGAAAAAGATTCCAGGTATTCTAGAAGAATGGTATAAATATCACATGTTCTAAATTACAGCATTTAGAGTATGAAAACATACTGCATTAGGATAATTTATGTTATACTGGATTTTAAAAATCTTCACAGACTATGAAAAAAACCCACAGAATCTTCAAAATACAGCAAACAAAAGAGATCAACCTTTTTTTCTTTCAAGTAATAGCCGATTGCAAAGTTTCTATCTCCACTCTCTCTTTCGGACTGGAACCTTAAAATAAAAATATGGTTTTAAAAAAAAACAAGACAACACATCAAAGTTTTAAAAAAACACTGAACTTCAGAGCTGCATAATGTAATTCAGTAAAACTGCACGTAAAGGGTACACGTTGCTTCAGAACACAGAGATTCTGACGGGACAGAAGCTTATCCCAGCACACCCAGTTGGAGCACATTAGCTCTGCCACACCAACACACACAGTACTGGCTACCTACATATGCACAAGCTGACATAAATCATAGTACATCAGCTGACTGATAAGGCAAAGAAGTGTGAGATCCTCCTCTTGGGAGAGTTTCTAAAAAGGCTGTAGTGGAGTGGAACATCCCAAGGGGTCACCCGCTGACAACACTGACCAAACCAGACCAGAGGGGAATCTGAGGATCACGCTGCCAGTCAGATAACCACCAGCCTGATGGCTGCAGTGTTTATGGTGATGACTAATTTAAGGATAAAACCTAAAGGAGGAATATTTACTATATAAGGGTAGATAATTCTCTCCTGATTCCTCCCCCAGCAAACACTCCTACCTTAACAAGGCTTGGGAAAAGCACTAGTTATCTCACTCTGCTTCTCTGCACATGTGTGCCAACTAGCAACCTGTATGGGATCTTAATGATTTTCCCAGTGCTGTCTCAAAAAACTCAGGATTTTTGGAATGTTATACATTAGTTATATATTAGTTATATGTTAATATAATGTGATGAGTTAATGAGGGTCATTGTTTTAGAAAAGAATTTATATATGTAAAATAAAAAAAGCATGAAGAGTCCCAGTTGTGTAAAGTACACTTTCTAAGCATTTGAAGCCATCCACATGCAGCCTTTAATTTTTAATATGGAAGCCAGGAAGATAAGGAGTTCCACTTGCAGCTCTCACTGCCATAGCCCAAGCAAAGCACTAAGACAGAATAATGACATTTCAAAGAAGTAACCAGCACTTTTATGTGAGATTTAGCCACATTGATGTCAGAGATATGTACAGCTTTAGTTTTTGTAGATTTTAAGCAAAAGACACCCCCGAATATTAGAGGTTAAATGATGGTTTCAATGTAAGTATCTACATTTTGCCATAAGCTCAGCCTGCCAACTATCAGTCTAGGTATTTTCCACCTAAGTTTAAGTAAATAAACAATACTTACGTTGCATTACTAAATCCAACATACTCATTACCAGCCATTTTATTCATGAATTGCATCACCTGTTAGAGAAAGAGACGAGGGGGGGGAAAAGCAAGCTAACATTTTCAGACATTAAAAAGTTATAACTGATTAGCTTTCAATGCAGTCTCATCCTAAAACTATCAACACAATTTTACAAATACAATCCGAATCACTAGATATTTAAACAACCAAGCACAGATAAAAAGACAAAACATTTGAAATTACTAAATTTCACTTGCAATTCCCCATGCCATCTCAAGACTTTTATCACTGAATTTAGTTAAAAAGGAATGTTAAAACATTAACTTACGTAGTCAAATTTTTCTGCATTATTTGCTCCTTGCTGCAAGAAAAGAAAAAATAATTTACAAAAATTGTTAACGTAAGAAAGAAGTTAGTTCACTTAACAGTATTAGGATTTTTAATGCATATAACTAAGGTATGAGGCTAATTAAGAATAAGGTACTACAATAATTTCATGTATTAATGAAAATATTAAAGTGTTAGCTAAGTAAATTTTAATTATAATTTAAATTAAATAATCCTAAAGAAGTCTTATCAAACACCTGTATGTTGGAAATCAATTTAAACTGAAAAAGGTATGCTTTATTTTAAGTGCTCTCTACTCAACTTTATGTATTTAGCATAAGTAAATGTAGTAGTTAAAGCAAAACATACAAAAGTAACTACAATTGGAATAATTACAATGAAAACACTAACTTATTATAGATTAGTAATCTAAAGGTTTTTTGACATTACCAACAGAGCTGAGCATAGGAAAGTTCAGGCTACTGAAGTTAAAGCATTTCCATGGCTAGCGCCCATACTAAGACTTGAAATAGTGTTACCCCTTACTAGGAAAATAATTGCATTTAATAAAAAATACCTGATTTGATTAATATCTGATTAACATCCTACCTATTAAAAGTTAAACAGTTAGAAAAATAGAATTTCACATCATAGAGTACATCATTCTGATAACAATGCAAGGAAAAAAAACTAAATCTGAATTAATAAGGATGCTGATGAAACTTAATTCTTAGGGTTGAATGTTTTGTTGTTTTTTTTTTTTTTTCCTCAGGAGGAAAAGGGGTATTATCTTGGGGCTTTTTTTTTTTTCCTCCTCATTTAAGAATATTCTCAAATTTAGTAGCTAAAGTTAAAGATGTAGTAATTTTGTACAGGTCTCCAATAGGTGACCTTTCACAAATTCCTAGAGCGAGAAATGAAAGAGGGGTGGGAGGCAAAAAACAGCACGTGGTCTACTAGGAGGAGTTTTTAATTTTAAGTAGCCAAGTAGATTTTTTTTTTTTGAGGAAGTTTAAAAAACAGTGGCATCATACACACGTGGAAACAATGTATCTGTAGGTGTTTTTCTAAATAACTTTAGTATTTAAGAAGCTCTATTTAAATAACAAAACTTTAACAAACAATTCAAGATATTACTTGCTCTGTGTTTAGTATGGGAACGGGGAAGGAAGTGGAAAAAACTGAAGCTTTATATCAACCAGTATTTTATTTAATGAAAAGGGTAAAGCCAGTCTCATTTCCCACTCTGTTTGTGGATTAGGGTGCTGCAGATAATCTGTGAAGCCCATGCATCAGCTCATCTACAAGAGGATGTGCAGTCATACACGTACGATCACTAGCGGAAAGGAACACCACACTGCTTTGTCAAAATTATGCACCAGTGGTTACCTTATACTTAAAGACTAATAACCTTACTCTTAAAGGCAATAATCTCTAGCTAATTTGCAATAAGATAAAAAAAAAATCATGACACATTTCATCAAAATGTTCCTGTATAATATACCAGAACACAAGTCTTAAAAATTTAACTCCAAATCTGTTCAATGAAAAATAATTAAAAGAAGAAATTACCAACTTCATTGAACTGTTGCAGTTGTCAAAATATTCCATAGATCCTAATGCTGTAAAATATGTAACAACATTTAAACCACAAAAACCTTTTCAACCTTTCAAATGCACAATGAACATCTTTTTCTGGGAAAGTGGGTCAGCATTAGTTATGGGATGCTGCATTGATAATTGTATGGTTAGACATGTATAATAAATTGAAACAAGTTCTTTTGTTAAAAAAAGAAAGAGGGAGAAAGGGATCATGCTTTCTGCAAAAACATAAATACATAGTACTTCACTTTCTTTTTTTTGCCCAGATTAAAAAAAAATCCTAGCCCTTCAACAAAAAGCTGTCTTTACTAGCAGCATATAAAACTGGTGGGCAGAAGACTCAAAGCAAGCTTTTTCCACATCAGTTTGTCATTAAAAAAAAAAGGTTTCTTTTTAAGATTTACACTATTTGCATATTTCGGGAAGAAAATCTTCTGTATACTAAGTCAGGTGATGCATTTTTAGTCCTTGATGTTCCACACACTTGTATAGGTACTTCATATCAAACACAAAAGCATTGCTACTTAAATTAGACTGCTCATATACCTAAAATATTTTCCTAAGTAATCATATGACTAAGAGTTCAGTAGGGATTTAATATAACAACTAAAACAGAAACCTTTGCTTCCACACACATGACCAAAAAACCCAACATATTAGTTTCCTTCTTTCAGCAGCTGACAGAGCTCTGCTGCTCCTCCCCAAAAGCTGACGAGACACAGAGGCAACCCACATCCTGCGGCTGAAAATGGATTGCAAATATAAAACCCCAGTACTAAGAATACTGCATAACTTTTCTGTAATAATTTAAATGAATAAGAGACAAGAAAGCTTCTGCTCTTGCACAAGTGCTTCTTATTTTTAGCTTGATCATATAAGCCTATGAGGTTGGAGTACTGCAACAATATTTCTTAAAAAAAACATTTTTATTTTAAATTGAGACGCAATTAATCTATCTAGAACATCAAAGGAAAGGTTCCATGCACTAACTCCACACACAGTACATTTACTGGACCATATGTTTATATACACACTTACTGTACACATGCTTGTGTGTATATACGCATATGAAAAAACACTTCTAAATGAATACAAAATGAAACTGAAAATGTTAAGACTGAAGCAGGTTGATAGGCAGAAAATTCAAACTTGCTAGAAGACAGCTCAATACAATTTTGCAAACACTTGAAATCACAATGGACATTGTGGCTGTCAATCATAAATTTGAATTTTTTGACTGTGTCAGGTTTGAGTGATCTTCCCCTTTTTTTAAAAAGCAAACGACTACAACAACCCAAACAAGGTACTTTTCTTATTTCTATTCCTACTAGGAAGATACAAATGGTTGCACAGGTTGCATGCCTACATGTACACAGGAAAGAAGAGACCCATGGAAATTTAACAGAACTGCCAACAACAAAATTAGGCAATATTTATTACAAAAGCAGTTAATAGTAGGCACTTTTCATTGATCAGTATTCAGTGCTTATACTAATAGACCACATAAGCTCTTACCATGTGTCTCTTGTTAAAATAATTCTTACATTTTGAATCGAAGCCAAGCTAATAAAAACATCTGGATCATTAGAAGTTTATAATCTTCTAATAATAGAAGATAATTTAAAAATTAACTTCTGGATTTTTTTTTAAAGTCTAATTTATAACCTAACAATATACTGTGATGAAAAGACCCAGAAAAAAATATTCTGAGCACTAAGTCAGAGTGCAAGAAAACTTTTTTTAATTATATTTGTGCATTTTACATTAACTTAACTATTAATATCTTTATTTTCATTTTCTGTACTTACATAATTTTTTTATTTTATTTGTTAATCTAGGCCTGCTCTGTAAGAATTTGTCTTGACTGCTTAGTGTGTTGTTTTCAGCTCTGAAATACTTGAGAGCACACTGTCACAGGCAGTATTTGACCCACTAAGACCAGGACATACTGTTACTATTTAAAATGTATGTAAGAAAATTTTTTTTGTCCTTTTGGTATTAAATACTTGCACATGTGGCCACTGAATACATGGAATTTCAAATATCACTACTACATATTCTATATCAAAGAACATCCAACACATAGGAGATACAATAAAAAGGAAGGCAGAATAATGTGAATGTACATTCTATCCAAAATTAGTTACTACAAGAAGACTAATAACCCAGGAAAAGAGGAAACTCCACCAAAATAAAGACGAGTATCTGGCAGAGAAGATCACAACACCAACACAAGTTTTAAAGTGGTATGTATGTACGTTTACACAACAGTCTATCAGGAAGGACAAATGGAAGGAGTAGCATTGAGCAATTAAGCTAAATCTCTACTATTCATTGTAACTATATTGTCAAGTAAACCAAATAAACTATGCATGTTCCATCTCTCAAGTATTAAACCATAACTATAGATGTCCTAATGACTGTATCCTGCCAGCAAACAGACCCTTGACACAGCTGGATGGGGTTTTCCACCACTCTTTGCCTCATTTCCATTACGACCTATCTGCATATTTAGAAAGCTCTAGAGAAAATCAGCTACAGCTCTTCGTTTCATAGGAAAAAAAGCTTTCAGAGAATTAAGTTTTTTCAGGGTCAGTAAGATCAGCATTTTCATTTGCTTGTACATAACATTTTTTATACAGAGTATGAATATTGCTATGCACCCCCAGCATGCCTAAAAGCTTCCCACATTAATCCATCACCAGGTGACATCACCTCCCTTCACCAAGCAGCCAAGTCTATCGTCGTCATCTGGGTGACATTCTGCACGTGGTTGTCAGCACTTAGAGGGGTTCCATGCCCTGTACTTCCCCAAACCTTTACAATTATAGTAAGGAAGGTTTTATTTACAGATGGAATCTTGAAGCATACAACAAAAATGAATTCAGATTAATTCCTTGTCCTCTGGAGATTCCTTCCACAGCCATCTGCCACCTTCTACATGTTTCACTCTGAACCCATTTGCACTCCTAACACACTACCCCCTCCCCACACAGTGGAGATAGAAGCAAGCAATGACAGGCACAACCACTGATGTTCCTGGACTTGACAGGCTTTGAGAATCGACTATAAGGTTGAAGAAAAAACACCCAACAGATCAAAGCACTGAAATCTCTCCATACTACAGGCAATAAAGGCTTCTCCCAGTCAATGTGCTGTACACAAAGCTGTGTGGTTACAGAGCACAGGAGCTGAATCATCTTATTTCAAGCACCTCCATTTCCTTGGAGACATGGAAGAATTTACCATTTTACCTAATATCACTTTTCCACAAACTCCTGTAATCGTCACTACGATTTTCTTTTGATAACAATTATTTGAAAATTGTTATAACTATGTAATTAACATAAATAGTATTAAAGGCAAATGGCTGTATAATTACAAACAAGGGGAAGGTCCTTAGGGCCTTTGAAATTTTAATTTCATTAAAACTGGCTCACAGGACGTCCTTTTGCTAAAGCAATTTTGTTGTAGATACACGCTTTAAATTGCTGGAACAGCCTGGGGAGTGCAATGCAAGTACAGCTAGAACAGAGCCCCAGGTTAAGGCACCAAAATGTAAATACTTTGTAGTTCCAAACACATGACAGTAGGAGAATCAGTTAAGCTGGTAAAAGTATAATATATTCATGCCTAAGTAGTCCAAGCAAAGGTACAGCTTAACAGGCACATACCCTTTGTTATTATGACTAGCAAGGACTAAACATAGCACTACAATTTAGGTCTACGCTCTGTTCCTAGGTGTGAGTATCAAATTCTTAAGGCAGTCAGAACTGCGTATGGGATGCTAAGAACTCATTCCCCTAAAATGTTAACGTATCACATATTCTAGTAAAAAGATCTCAGTACAACGTATGTAAATTTTGAAAGACTTCTTATATCAGTTTCTCAGAATGAGATAAACTAATGAATATCAAAGGAAGTACAAGCATTCTTAACACTGAAATACAGCAATACTCTCTCCATAGCTATCAACATGCTATCATTAGATAAATCTGTCATCCATGGTAAATCTGACCATGTTTAATAATCCCTTAATTTTCTTGGACTCTAGGAGCCATAAACAACCTTAAAGATACACAACTAACACCTCACACAAAATGAATGCAGAGTAACTGAGGGCAAAACAGGTTAATGAAGCCACCTTTTCCAGAAAAAAAAAAATCTTAGATTAGTTCAAATATAAATGTGAATTACTTAAATCACTTAATAGTTAGTAGGAATATTGTTAAATTGCAGATTTTAAAGAAGCTACTTCACAAAAAATACAACTATTAAGCAACTTTGTAGCTGTAACCCTCTACATAATTTTCTTCAGCATACGTTTAGTTTGGGTAATTATTCACATGATAAATGGTATCTTAGTGGAAGCAGTACATAAAATAATCTACAGTTTAATCACACTGAAAACAAATAATGAAGTGTGATAAGTAAGATACGTGTCCATTAGACGTGCAGTTACCACATGCATAAATGTTAGTGCAATGCAATACTCTTCATAAGAACATTACAGCAAAAAAAAATACATAAAAATAAAAAAAAACACCCAGCAGAAACAACCCCCCAACCTTCTAACAAATATCACAATTGCATGCAGTAAACAAACCCATGTTATCTATTCAGAAGTACATCACTTATCAAGAACTATGTATGTGCCTTCCACAAGAGGCACATGCTTGTGTTTTGCCTTCTGACTAGTAGGGCACGTTGTAGTAGGACTAAACATTTTGACATTTCAGACAAATGCGTTAAGTCAGGTTTTAAAATTCACTATTATTCAAGTGAATTTCAATGCTCAGTCAACCTTTAAAAAAAATATTAAATGTGAATAAATTTACCTGTCATACTTAAGGCCATTTTCTTTCACCTACAGCTATTAAAGATAAATGTTTTTAAGCAGGAGTTCTTACACCTTCTTTAAATATAAAATAACAGAAAAATCATGATCTAAGTAATTTTAAAATCAACAATTTGGAAATAGGAGTTAGGAAACACACTGTAGCTAATGGACTTTGAAACATAACCAAGGAAAAGGCTGTAAACAAGGTTGGTAGACCTCTGAAGTAACAGTGTTTTCTACTTCAAAACTCCAGGGGACTGACAAGTTTTCCACAATTCTAAGCAGGTACCCTTAGGAAAAAAAAATAAGTTTTTTGTACCAGTGGCTACCAAAAAAAAAGGCAGAAAATACACGTAAAGTACGTAGCAAACATTAGCATTACATGGAATTTATGCCATTTACAACTTGAAGATGTATATGCAGCTATTCTTAGGAAAAATAAATACAGCTTTCCAAAAGTCATAAGATTACGGACTAAAGATGTTAAGTCATTATTCAGTCATGGCTTACTCAGCAAAATACAGATAACTGTTTCAAACACTTTTTTAAGAAAGCACATTTCACATCCCAACAGGAACTACATAACACAGAAGTTAAACATAATTTACTTGCAGAGTATGTTAACAGAGGACACATTCAGCATTAAGACTGACGTGCAAATATAGCTGCATTGCTCCCACACAAATTACTGTTATCAGCCAGTTCTTCTGCACAGCAAGAAATACTCTGGGAACTTTGTGCTATATAAGAGCATTAGACATTCAGAAACATATCTCTGAGTGCTATGAAGTATACTCCTGAGGACATACTCTTAGCATTTAACAAGTGTGAGGCAGTTGTCTCAAGAGAATATCAAGTGTTGTGCAGTTAAAGGAGGAAAGAAAATGAAAAATGCTAAGGAAAAAGAGCCTTGCAGCTGCACTGTTCATTTTTAACCACAGCTAGTCTAATTCTCCATTTGTTTGGAAGTGTTAGTATTTCCAAAACAGAGTTTGTCTACCTGTTAATGAGTAAACTGCCATCAGATACTGCATATATAAAATGAGAACACTTCATAATCTGTACAAGATACTTTTTCTACATTTTGTTAAAATACTCTGACAGAAACTAAAATTGAGCTTTTTACCTTGATTAGAGATGTGATCACAATAGCTCCAGCATTCACCATAGGGTTATGAGGCCTGTCTGTGAAAGAAAATTTTCATTTACAAATATATCCCAAGACACATTTGTCAAACAAAACCAGTTAGGTGTTTAAGTGAAAAAAATATAAATATTACTGTATGACTTAAAGCTATGACTATGGAACATAGTCCTAAATTGAAAATCTTGTAATCCAACACTGTACGCAATTTCTTTTAATTCTGAGCAAAGTTTTTTTACAGCTTAGAACACACTCAGCCTAATCCTACTTAACAGTTCTGTAAAATAATAAGCATCATTTTTTTTTTTCTTCAAAATGTTGAGAGTCCTTTCCAATGTTCCAAGTGACCAATGCAACATGTGCAAGTGGAACAACCCCTAAAAGACTTTCCAATTCTTCCTAAAAGTTAGCAAGTTTTGGTGTTTATAAAAGTGTTCAAATAGTCCTTTGAAAAAAACTAAAAATATCCAGTTCTGGATTTTGCTTATTGTTGTACAATACATAATCCTGATTCTTTTTAAGAATCAGGTCTCTGCTGGTACCTTTCAAAATACAAATATCAAATTATTCATCCTCACGAGAATTTAACTTAACTTCCTAATTCACTTGCATACACCTGCTATACTTATAGTTTTTTTCTGTTTTATCACTAATCTCCATATCAATAGTATTTTTGCATTCCCAGTCATTCTTGGATGCATTTATTTTTTCTTTTTCCAAAAAGCTTTCCTTATCAGCTGTCTTTCTTTTCCCAAATACAAGTTCTCATTCTTCAATATCAACTTCCTACAATTACCTTTTTTTTTAGATAACATTTTTGCTGTGCCATTTAACCAGGATGTTGATTTTTGAGTGTTCTAGTGTCTGGAAACTTCAACCAATTCTCAATACATTAATATGGTGAAAGGCTTGAATTATTTTTATTTGCTGTTATTTTATCTCCAAATTTGAAAAAAATATTCATTTAAAAAATACACAAAGTGTTTTCTACTTTTGTATATGACACACACACCATGCACAGTAAAAGGAAATTGAGAGGACTGCTTTTTGGAGATAAGCCTGATATTCACAGTATACACACACACATTTTCCCATGAAAATTACAGTGGTTATAGTCAATGGCACTTAGCCATCTATGCCTATCAAATAAGCTCCAAAAACTACTCAAGTGTCTTTTAGCATTTTTCAGAACATCAATATTAAAAGGAACTTTAAAAAAAAAAAAAGTTATTTTGTTAGTGAAAGGTAAGACCAATATCTTCTATGAAAAAAAAAGTTAAGCTCCTCTAAAACACAAACTTAATGTCCATATACTATTTTTAAAGTTTTTAGTGTCACTCCTTATCTGTCTAAAACACTCATGAATTGTTCAGATTTTATCTAACTGTATTGAAGATCCACCCACATGGAACATCCTGTTCTACTCTTGTCAATAATGCAAGGAACTTGGGTCAAATATATTTGACTTTTGGTTAAAATAAGATTCTGAGTAGGAAAAATGAAGCATTTTCAAAGCTCTCCAACTCTGTCTCTCCTTAGGGACCAAAAACCTGAACCCCAGTCAAAGGTGTTAAAAGTCAAAACGACTAATCACAGCATCACAGACTGCTGGTCAGAAGGGACATGTGGAAGTCTTCTCTTCCACCCTCCCACTCAAAGCTAGGCTACTGCCAAGGTTATGTCAGGTCAGTCATGCTTTTATCTAGCTTCAAAACCTCCAAGCATGACAAATCCTCTACCTCTTTAGCAATTGTGTTCCTCCTAGAGGGCGAGTTTACACTAATATCCAACCTCTACCTCCCAAGCCACAGTTCAGGCCACCGGCCCTTGTACTATCATCTGCCACTACCAAGAAGAGTTACACAAATCTTCACCTTTGCAATTACTCGTCAAGAGTTTTCAGCAGCAACTAGGGGAGCCCCTAACCGCCTGGTTCAACTGCTCCCTCCTCAGGAGTTCTGTGAACTGGACCACACAGCACTCTGGGAGCTCTCCACCGGACCCCTCTCCAGTTTTTCAATATTATCCTTGAATTGGGGACCCCACCTTGGCCACACAGTCCAACACAACATTGACCTCATGCATAATCAGAACACACTGATGTCCTCATTTCTTACTCTGGATATGCTTCTCTATTTTAGAGCTTCCTCTTGTCAACATCAGGTATCATTCCAGTCCATGACCACATTTACAATTTCATCATATACAGCCCATTCTAAAAGTATTTTTATAAATGTTTTGCTCTTGATTCTTCTGCACATCTCTATGGTTTCAATCTGCCACAGAGAATACAGAAAAAAAAAAACCTTCCCAAACCCCGCATCATCTGTCTATTTGAATAAAAAGGATGTGTAATGTTTACTGACCATTCAGCAACTCAGAAGTTATCAATGTGGCAAGTCCACACACAGAATATGCCCTCAGAAAGTCTACTGTGTCTCATTTCCTTGAAGATGCCACCACTTACCTTCAATATCACAGGGCACAATCATTGTGGGAGCCTTACCAGCTAAGAGGAGGCCCGGCAGTCTGCCTTACCACACACCAACAACACTCTCCTGTCAGAGTCTCTGCTACTTCTGCCTGACACCAGGACATCACAGAGCTGAGTCAGACAGCTTCCATTAATCCCCTGCTGCCTATTCTGAGACTAATAAACCCTGTCAGGGTATCCAGGTCCCAGGAAAGCAGTTTTCACTGTTATCTGCATAGCACCAGATAATACTACCCAAAAACTTGCCATACATAGATATCTGTAATTGACAGATAACCCTCTATCTTGCCACAGTAGCTACAGGCTTCCTGGAGAAGTGGTCAATGCTCCAGGCTGCTGGTGTTTAATGGGCACTTGGACAATGCTCTTAACATACTGTGACTTTTTATCAGCCCTGAAGTGGTCACTGTAGGTCTAAAATTCAGTACTTCCAACTGAAATAGTCTATTCTGTGAAACAATGAAGACTCCTTCACAATACACTGGCCTTTTTTAAGGGCCAGGATGCCTAAATAAAATCTTATATTCTGAAAGATTCCTGCCAATTTCAAAGAAATGTCTTCCACTCCTGTCAACGATACTTCCATTTCCAGATATTTTTTCACCTGTTAGGGATGTATAAGTTCTGACACTACACAAATTTCTAAAGATAAGTCAGACAGACAGAGAGTCTTTCTAATGTAGCAGCAACCACTGATTTATCTCACAGTGGGTGCCATTACCAGTGGGATCCCACATTGTACAACAAGGAACGCAGTTTGGTGCTGTAATTGTAACACTTTGCCAAAGAGGCAAACAAATTCATCTATCCATCTTTAGAAAGAGTTACCAAACTCTGCAAAGCTGACACACATCACTAAAAGCAAACACATACACTGTCTCTACTTAATCAAATAATAAAGGCAATCTGCACAGAATGATAAAAAAAATCTTTTATGTAGCTTCTCTGCAAGTCTCTTACATTGCTGTATTACATCATACTTCAGAGTAAATCCAGGTTTTCATCTGTAATAAAAAGCACAAGTAACCCTTCGACTTCAGCTGGGGTGCCCTGATTAAGTCTAGCACTGAAACAGATTCTTCTCTTGCATAAACAACCCACCTAACAGCCTTTGAACAGTAAATCTATTCTTCAGCAATACTGCGCTCTCTTTTTCCTGTGGAAAGGAGATATTTGTCTAGAACAGCCTTTTAGAACTGCAGTATATTTAACAGGTTTATCTAAATTCAAAATAAAATAAAATATAATTTATCTAGTTACCCAAATAAGCAATTTCCTGGCAATCCCTCATTCAATTACAAGGCAACATTTATTATTAGACTAAGTTCCACAAACAATGGTATTACTAGACTAATTGTAGAAAGAATTAGCAAGAAGGTCTCATTTATGGATAAGAGATAATAAAAGTACATATATACAGGTATTGTCAGATGTTGCATCATGAAGGCATGAAAAAACCTGCAAACTGCTCAATGACAACAACCAGAAAAATTATTCCCGACGATGACTGTTTCAGAGACAAGTCCTGGTCTACTTCAATTAACTAGAATAATCTGTTTATAAATAACATGGGAATTCTTTTAGTCCTCCAGAAATGTGACTTGTTCCATGGGCCATATGTTCACTTTGATAAAAAAGTTTTTATATTTAATATTCACAAGGCTGCAGCCGTTTCCAAATACCCATTATACAGCACAGATCTTACTCAAGTCACACATGATTCTTAGTAACACCTTTTTGTTTTAAGTTGGTGTTTTCAGCTACGATCTAAAATTCTTTAAATTCTCCATTCTTTCCAGCTTGAATCTCAATATTAGTAAACAAAGAGATGGAAGAACATCCTGATTTAGGAACTTTAATGTAGTAAGAATAAAAAATACCTTCAGATGTCTGCCTAACCAGTTTTCAAATACCTTCCTATCACTTCATAAAATCCTGATCACGAACATGAAATTCAACTCTATCAGAATAGCTAGAAAGCAAACACATTGAATATAATTTTCAAATCTGACCTTCAAAGTAGCATGTTCAAACTGCCAAATAATCTGCATATCCAAACTTCAAACACCAATTCAAATCTACAAGAAGTAAAGCATAATCCCTTCTTCCCTCCCTCTTCCTTCACTCAGAAACTCAATTTCCCTTTCTCTCCATATAACTGAAATGTTCCTCCTCATTAGGCTTCTACCCTTTATTTTAGTCTTTCATTTACAGACTCTATAGCTAAAGAGGCTGTTCAGGCTAGTTCTAACATGTTTTTCCCACATCAGTTATATCAGGCACACAAGCACGTACTTAAAAATTAAAATTTCTATTACGTGAACTAGTCTTCTCAATTTCATGCACACTGGTCAAATTTCAATAATCCAAACTCTGTTACTGGATAATAGTCTTATAAACACTCTTAAAGTCTAGCAGTAATACAATAAAAGACCACAGCCTAACAATTCATTTCCTCACATAGTTTAAAAAGTAGCAATGAAAAGAAAATAGATTACTATACTTTGTCATTTCACTAAAAAAAAAAAAAAAAAAAAAAAACACCCAAACAAAACAGAACACTTATATTGATCCAAAATTTTAAAATTGGGCAATTTTCAGCACCATCTAAACTTTTTTTAATATGAAGGCTTTCTCAGGACATGAAAGGCAGTCGTTGTCACACTGCACAACACTGTATTTGGAAAAAATTGGAAAGGAAAAGCAAGAGAGCAAAGCTTGACAAAATGCTCAGTTCCCTCTTGGAGATTCCTACACATGTTGGTATTCCATTACCACTTACTAACATAAGAAAAAAGAAGAAATAAATTGTCAAGATCCAGTTTCTTTGTACATTTGGAAAGATGATTTCAAGATACGTATTGAATATAATTATGATTAATATATTAATAATATGGATGTTTAAGTCGGAATTAAATGCAGTCCTTGACAAAAAAATATCATCCAAGCCTTATGCTGTTAATTAAATATTAATTGAAATACCATGGCAACAGAAACATTGTCTGTTCTCTTCCTGAGAAACATCTGCTAGAAGAAACATTTGGGTTTGAGATAACATCCAGTATTTCCTCTAAGGCTGTATGAGTCATCCTTCTCAGATTTTTGCCACAATGTTTTTAAAAATAAATTTTCATGCTTGAGAATTAATATAACACTGAAAAGAAACAATCTAGATAAATACTGTATGAGAAACTCTTGCTAAAGCACTCCTGCCACAGGGAAGGGAAACAAAAACAAACAACAGATGACACAAAACAACACCAACAAAAATCCCCAACACGGTTTTGAGTCAGTAGCCAAATTCAGTTTACAATAATCTGTGGGAAGATGTGTTCAGTTTTGCCTTCTGGAAACTATCCAGCACTGGCCCTTGGCACCAGCACCTGCTTCTCAGAGTGCTGAAAAGGCAAGTGATAAACACGCTTCTTAAAATCAATTTAACATCTTTGATTCTTTTACCACCATCTCACAGAATTTCACGATTAAGCAACGCTTGCTACCAGCTCAATGAAAATATGCATTTCAGATACCTGCATTACCAAAATTCTTTGGGTTTTTTCCCTGCAGCTGGGTAGCTAGCAAATAGGATAGAAGCAATAAAGCATCTTTTACTAGCATTCTAGACCAGGTAAAAGTGAGTGGCAAAGGATAAGCCTACCTTGCTGACAGCAAAATATTTTGGAACACTAATAATAATACTTAAGAAGATACAATAAAATGAAAAGACTGAAAAAACCTGTGAAGCTTGTTTTTTAGTTTTCTAAAACTGAGTATTCACATTATGAAGTATTCTATATCTCTTACCATCTTCATTCAGGAACAATTTGTTGAACCTTAATCCACTAGGCTCTTTACCAACGTATCTGTGCACATACTCCGTGCCCAGATCGTTCACAGCAATAGCGTATTTCAAGGGCTTCACACAGGACTGCAGACAGAACGGAACTTTGGTATCGCCAACAGAATGCCTGGGGAAAACACACATGAAGAGCTTTGAAATCTCCTCTTTGCCAGCTGTGGAAGGTAGTGTTAAATGCTTCATATATTTTTCAATTTACTAAGGCTATTAATAAAAACAACCCAAAAAATAAAAGCATATTATTAGGAACTCTCTTTTTAAAGAGTGTAAGGAAACTATTTAAAGGTTTTAACAATTGACTCCATTAATTAAGCATAACAAAGACAGTTGCTGGTAATTACTGCTGATGTAATAAAATAAAGGCAAGTTCAATAATGTGTTTGTACCAGAGGAAAAGTCACCTCAGACTTCTAGTACCACACTTACTCCACTTAACTGTAAGCCACATACCCAACAGGGTACAGCTGACCTGAATGCAGTCACTGAACATATTTATGTTTCTATAAACAAAGACAAGATCCAATTAAGTTTTGGCACTCAAGGGCAATAATTAAATAGCTGTATTTACATTCCTTTCGATAATGGCATAGGTATTTTATTACAATTATTAAATGCTGTCTTCTGGAAAGTCTACTTGCAACATGATCTAAATCTGACTGCATCGAAGAATGACTCGTACAAAGAGCATATGCCCCACCTAGAGCAAAAGGCTCAAAAAAGACATTTTTCTGATGGTAAAATCAGAATTGTATTTGCTTCTTTTCTTTGCAGAAAACATGAGGTTTCAGAGAAACTAAAAAAAACAGTTTGGCATTATAAAAACTAACATTACAAAATTAGCATTATAAAAACTTTTATTAGTACATGTTATAATATCCAAAACAAAGCAAAATGCCAATTTAAAATATTCAGAAGGGAGAATATTTTTACTTTTATAGCTTTTTCACTATGAATAGATTATTATTCAGATACTTAAGCATGGAGCTGAAGGGACTTCAGCTTACTTGTACAGCTCCTCCTCTAGAAATTATGGAGCGTAAGGCTAAAAAGAACCAAACATACAGATTCCAACGGACCACATTAAAATGAACTCAAATCCATAGTCACCATAAGCAGGTCTGATGCTCTCTCAGGATTGTCCCATTCACCCAGGACATAGTCAACACCTAAAAATCAGGTACTCAGAATATGCAGTATGACCATCTCAAACTGCAGGCAGCAGAGGCATGCAAGCTCATGAGTATCTCAAATTGTCTAGTCACAGAGTTAGAGACAGCAGAGTTTACCTTACTTCTTCTTAGCTAGATGTTGTGAGATACTCCTTTATATTTATGCTCATAACTGTCTCTGCTACACTGAGTTACCAATAAAGACAAAAAAGAGTACTCTAGCTTTATCAAAGACCTACATACAGCCTTGCAGGAGAAAGTATAATAAGACTGAAGAACAAAATCATGTTAAGTTCTGTACAGCTTCATCTTCATTTTCTTTTTGAAGAATATGGATCTGATTTTTTTGGTGACCTACAAGGATTGTATAATAATGCCACAGTAAGAACATTAAAATGCAGAACAGGAACTAACTTTCAAGTATGTGTGACCTACAGAAAAATTAATATAGCTTGAGGCACAAGTACTATCAGACAAAGCTCTTCAACTACCAAAGATGAATGTTACATAAGCATTGTCTCTATCCTGTCTTTTGGTAATCTCCAACTTACCCACAGCTTCATGACTGTGTTTGAAGAAGTGCAATATTATCTAGCTTAAATATATACTTAAAAATACCATTTAAACCACATTTTGTAATAATTCAGCTTAAACAGAGAAGTTGAAAAAAGTTAAGAAAGATGGCCAAGCAATTTTACTTAGATTTTACTTCTTCAACAGTTAATAAAGCTTTTCCTTTATTAAACCATGAGATATCACAAAGTGCTGTATGTGTTCAACATTTTAAGCTGAAATAGCAAATTCTGTAAGTTAGAATATACCTCTGTCCATCCACTGTGCAAAGTGACACACCCCACAAATCAGGGCTGAACTTGGCCAGTTGTGGAATATAGTCAGCAACCTATCACAACATGAAATAAAAAGAGAGACATTACAACATCCAAAATATTTAACTACATGTTAATATACATTAATTAAAATAAATGTACCTGTGTATCCTTTCCCTTGACAACTGAATTATTCCACTAATAATCACCTGGTGTATCTAAAACTCTCATTACAAATTATTCTATTCACTAGATCATTATCAAATAAAATATTTTTTCAAACTACAAACTTCAAGGCATTCTGAGGGGAATCTCTGTTCTGTGGTACAGTATGTTCAGCACTTTTCAAATCATAAAATTTTAGCCTGTAACAAAGTTCAGGGTTTCTCAATTTATTGAAAATAAGCACTAGATTAAACTTTAATTACTAACGTCGGTACAATGTTGACAATTCCTTCTGTCACACAACGCAGCCAGTTGAAGATTTAGCATAATTCTTTTATACACTAAGTTTAGCATGACAAAACATACAGCAGTTTTATAGTTTACATAAATTAAAGGAAGAACACTATTTTATTGTTCAAACCTCAAAATTGTAAGAGACTGAGGTAATGAGCTGTGTTTCTAACACAGGTTAGAAGTTGCAGATATAACTGAACTTCCAATACTATTTTATCAAGTTATCAGTTGAACATTTTACTAAAAACATTAAGAAAAAACTGTCTACTTAACAAAAAACTGTATTTGGTTAATATCAAGAAATCTGAAGACCTCTGAAGTTGGATTTACAAACAAGGTTACCTTTCCTCCAGATTGTTTCTTAGCACTTTCATACAGCTCATCAATATGTGAAGTAAACGACATAAAATCAGGAATGACAAACTTCCTCCTGAAAGCTTGAGTAAGCAATACAATATTACTTTGTACACACCTGCAAAGAGTTAAAAAGAGGATATTAGTATGTTGACAAAGTACTGTCAAAAAGTCTACTTAAGTAGCAATTACATGCTGGTTAAGTAAGGATCACCTGTCCCTCGAGTTGTATGTCTACAGGAACATTTTTTTGTTTTGTAAGACTTTTTTGTTTTCCACTTTAGGAGTTTTATTTTAAAATTATTTACAGTTGTTTCATTGTATTCATTGTTATGCCTTTTAACTTAAAGCTCTTCCTTAGAAGTTTCAACTGTGAGGCTGTACTGCAAGCAACCACCAGTTTGCCTTCAAGAAGCATCTAAACTTGCAGAAGAGATCTAAGCCACCCACTCCTTAGGATCAAGACAAGTGAAGGTCATTTAACCCCACCCTTGTCCAGAGAAGTGCTAATTTCAGAGTTAGATGAGACTTCTGAGGTTCAAGGTTGGTTTCTCTCACTTACAACTGGTTTCTCCACAAAGGTTGCCAACAGACCAAACTGGAGTGAGTTTCCACTTAATAAGAACAAAACCCTGTGGAAGCCCTCGATAACATCTTCTAAACTAAGCAAAAGTTAACACTGAGCAGTAGTGCAAGTCTCTTGCTTCAAACTACCACCAGTTCAGGAAATTTTGCTGCCTTTTAACCCAGAACACAGTTACATTATCATCCATACCCTCTAAACATCAGACCACCTGGGGCATTCAAAAAACTGATAAGGTAAGAAGGAAAAAACTTATCTAGGAGAAGCAAAAGAATGGAAGGATTAAAATACAAGCTGAGACATGTTGGTGAAAGTGGTGTGTCTGTGGGCAGGGAAGGAGCAGGGGTGGGAACTGGGAGCTATTAGCATGTCAGTTGAAATATGACCTGATAAAGAGTATTAACACCCTATTCCAGTGTGAGGAAGAGAAAGAAAGGTTTAACGCCAGACAGTTTCATTAGCAGGTTCATTCTACGCTTTCTGGCAGCACTGACAAAAGCAGAAACATACTGTCAATACAGACAAGTGGAAAGTTAAGAACATACTAGGAAGGAGAAGACACCCTTCCAATGAACACTTACTCAAAAAAGTAAAAAATTAATTTTTAGGGAATATTTTCACTTGGAATAGATACTTCCAAGAATTCTATTATTAAGAGTCATCAACAGTTCGAACTGAAGATGCACGAACACCAGTGAACAGATAGTTCTATCTCCCCTTTGATTCCCCCTTTCTTTTTTTAAACCTTCAGTTTGAACTCCTTTGTACTTATGAAACTTCATCCAAATTCAGCTGACAGCCATTTCAAAAGCTGACAGTCACTGCTCTCCAAGAGTGAAAGAAACAGTAGAGAAGTTTGTTGTGTACACTGGCATCTTAAGAATTGCTCTGTATGTAATACACATCTTTGTTACTCTATGTTAAAACTGCAATTGAGTTGGTTTTGTTGCAATTTGTTGTGCTCATCCACTCCTTTTTTACTTATCATGAAAAAATCTTGTTTGTTTTTGTAAATGCAGCCTCCAATTACCATTTACCTACTCCAGGTGCAACAACTCCCTTTCAAAAGTAATTAATAACAGTTATGGCAGCTATGTGTGCAGAAGGAATAACATAATATGCAGAAGGTTTAAACTTCAGAGGCACGCCTACATTGCCTGTGCCACCTGGACAGCATTAAGCACTCTTGTAAATAAAAAAAAAACAAGTATTTGAAGTTCACCTAAACCTATCAGAACAAGCCCGTACAAAATGTGGAAAACAAGAAGGCAGCATGCACTGAAACACAGTCCTCTGCTACCACGTTGTGTTTCCAAAACAGGAAGGACATTGACACACTTGCCACTCTACATCAAGTCCAGGATGCTCCCGTTAGCAATTCAGTCACTTTAAGGTAGAGATTGAGACTCACTGCAGAAATAGCTATGCCAGTCAAGGACATCACACTTTTCTGCCAGAAGCTGCTGTTCCCAGACTTCTGCCAAGGTCCGTGTCTGGGTGTTTATCCTGGTATTGCTTAACCCAGGCAAATAATGAATTCACAGACTAAATGAAATACAAGGGTTCAATTAATCTAGATGGGTGTATTTGGAACAACTACTGCATGGACAAAACAACAGGAGCCTTGGTAAACTCCAGCTGACAGGGCAGGAATATTTTCAGTCAACAGAGGACATTGGCCTTGACAGTCTCTCTCAATCTGCAGCTGACATCTCCTCCCCACCAAAGCTTCTCACTGGTTTATGTTCCTGCTACCCCTTTGCAGAAAAATGGGCTCTGGAAAAGTGGAGCAATAAGAAAAGATCACAAGGAGGAATTCAAGTAAAAGAATATACCAATAAATGAAAATCCTTCTAGGGTCAAATCTTACAAACAACTTAGTCCTTATCTCCCACCTAGTTTAGCAGTGTTCAGTATAGGTACACTAAGATCTTCCCACCTCCAATTCTTCTATTTCTCCAAACTTTATCACCTCACTCTAAAAAAATCTGTCTTGTCAAATGCCAACACAAGCGTTTCCCCCTCCATTTGAAAACATGTCAAAACCCTTGACACATTTGGGTTTAGAAGATTAGGATGCAATTCTTATGGTCTGTAATAACTTTCAGCTACTTGTAGAACCTGCAAGTAAGAGTTTGGGGATTTTTTTTAAACGGAAGCTTTAATCTCTAGCATAAAGATAGGATCACTTTGCTTCCTTTATCATACAACCTGCTATTCATACCTTATTTTTCAAGTTCTGGCTGGGATTATTGCTTCCCTACACAAAGTAGGTACCTGCTAAAAAAATTAGTCTGAACTCCAAGCAGTTCTGAAGAACTGAAAGGACGACGTTTTCCTGTTTAAAAAGCTACAGCATCAGCATTACAGCAAGGAATGTGAAACTTCATATTTGACAAGCAAGACGAGGTCTGTAGAAGCGTTCAATATATTTTGACATTTTAGGGGAAAAAAAATTGACATTATTTTGACAAATGAGGTTTTATAGTGGAAGTCCCCTACATATTCTGCCAAAAGCTTTCTAATTGCTCAAACAGGATGAAAGCATTTATTAATATGTGGTTTAAGCATATCCAAAAATCAAAGTTTTCCTCAGGATTTGCTACCTAGACTGAAAGCAGCACAGTCACTTAGCAGCAAGTAGAGCTCCATCAACAGATCGACATGCTTAGCACATAACATCCTCATATTGCTGCTTCCTACCCACAGATCAGAGGAGATCTGACTGGCAAGACCACAGTTCTAGGTCAGTACAGAGGGCCAAGGTCAGTACAGAGGGACAGACAGCACCTCCTGACAAAGGCTGAGTCTACAAACCCACATAAATTACTCTGAAGAAGAATGTGGTTTAAACCTCAGAGTTACAACTGTTACTCAGTAGCTATCACCTCATTCAAGTGTATACCCTTTCTAAAATAACTCAATTTCACTTGCCTCTTGCCTTCTGCCTCCCCACCAAAATACCGTTAGTCAAGAAATAAGGGGTTTTGCAAGTCATCTATTTTTGTGCTAGGGAAAACTTGTGAGTTAAAGGAAAAGCTACAAGAGGTAGGAGTATTCCTTACAAAGATTATTAGAAATTCGTCTACAAATTAGCTGCAGTGTCACTGAAACAGATCTAAAAAAAACAGGATATGTCAAAATGTGCATGCTTCTTGAGGAAGATTAACATGTAAAATCTTTCATATTGTTCAGTTTCCTAAGTTTCACCTAATTAACTATGCAATAAAGTAGTACCATACCTAGGGTACAAAAAAAAAATAAAAATTTATACAGCAAGCTAAGCAGCGTCAGTAAGCAGTAAGCAGGCTCTTCTCAGCAAGGTATTATTCATGAGACAAGGACCACGTGTTGTGTTATGTTATATAGATTACATAATTCAAGAAATTTGTCAAGCACCCTCTGTGAGATCTGCACCAGTGAGGCATTCAATTCCAGAAGCTCTGGAGATGAAAGATTAAAACCCTAAGTTATTCTACCTTTAACACGGAGATTTTTTCCAATTTCTTATTTAAACACAGAGCACTGTAAAACCCCAAATTTTCAAAATGAATCCATTTTAATCAAATTGGTGCCTAATGTTTAGAACTAAAGAGGCACTGAAACTCTTATTACATGGGGACAGTACAGATGCACGAGCCAGCGTACTTTAGAGGTAATTCCTACTGGACTCAATTGATTTTGTCAAGCTTATGCTATCACTGCTCCACGTCACTTATTCTTGATTCTTTACTTGATCTAGCAGCTTTGGATTCAAACTCAACAGGAAAATTACAGCACTGATTTTTACATTTAGAGAACTGAAGCTTCAAAGTCCTGCGGTAAGTACAGCTGAGTAGACACATTATATTTCACACCTTAAACACCTGGAAAAGAAAAACACGGGAACCTAGGGCAAGTCTCTACACAGAAATGCAGTGTGCCTAGGAGAAAGAGATAACTGAAGTTTGAGGGGGTTTAATTCATAAAAAAGGTTAACAACTGCTGCTGCAAAGGGAAGTCTGCTACATGAAGAGGTTCACCTCTCCATCTGCTGTATAGTCTTGATGTTCAGAACTCTTCCTAAGCAAGCAGCAACCATGTAAGCTTTCTACAAACCATCATAGCAACAACCACTTCCCTGACACAGAGGATCAAATCCTAGAAAGGTGATGTAGAACACAGGCTAATCCCAACAATTAGCAACCACTTGTCCTTTTCCTAATATGCAGCCCTTGCCTAAAACATAATTCACAGTTTACTATTACAAACAAGCTTTCTAGTATAAATTGAATGCATAATAGCAAAAACATTACTTTTCCAATCAAACCATACACCCAGACAAGTTTCTGACTCTAACAATTCAGAGTTTTCACTCTGCTGTGACAAATAACCAGTGAAGGCCTGGTCTTGAACTTAATACAGGAATAAAATTAATTCATGTGGTACCTTTAAGAAGTATCCCACATTTGATTGAGGAGTCGACTGGTTTGTTATTTTGTCACACACAGAGACATTCATTTTTCTCAATGTACATCCAAAATTGTTTATTAAAAATATATATAATGTATAGCTTTTCTGTTTATATTTACATAAAACTATGTAAATATATAACATAGTACAAGCATATACTGTATACTGTGGTTTATATATTTATATGTATATAATATATACACAATTTCATTTGTAAACACCTTTTTTATATCCATACACATTTTAAATTGTAACTGAAGGGAACTAGCACTAAATACCACTACCTCAAACTAAAAAAAAAAATGCTACAGAACAAAAAAGCACCAGCTTTGACTAAACTATACTCTCGGTGAAAGAAGTTTTAGATGTCATTTACTCTGTAAATGGAATAAAAATATGACCCAAAAATAGTCTACAGATTTCAAGATTTAAGAGCCTCTGAACTTTCAGTGTTTTGGCACACAAAACCTAAGTAGGGGAGCAAAGGTGTATGCTTGGAATGAACTAAAGGCAACCTGAACAATGCTTATATTGTTCAACTAACTGACCAGACTATTCTTAAAGAAAAACCAAAAATAATCACTAAAATATGGCACAGAAATCTTTTCCAAAACAGACTTCTAGAGCCTTAACTGCTCCCAGTGCTACATATCTGGAAATATAACTTCACTCCAATTTTCATATACTCACTTCACAATTAACTACGTACATACTCAAACACCTCACTACACAGAAGCAGCACTAAAACTGGCTGATAAAAAGCAAGAGAGGTTTTATGTACTCATACTAAACACCCCGTGCTACATCCATTAATTTATTATTTGGCATCTGGCTGAGAGCTGCAGTATGGGGTCAGCAAACATGCAAACAACACTGATGCATTAAACTCTTGTGGAGATCACACAATCTCTCTGCTGCATGAAACCAGAGAACAAGCTCATACAAAACCAGCATCAGCAGGAGTGTCTGACTCCCTGACACATGGATTTATACACCTTACACGTCTCCTAAGACTGCAATCAGTAACAGACAGACAACATTCATTCAGAATGACAGCTGAAAGTTTACTTTTTAAAAAGGTCTTTGTCCAGCATAACGCCATCTGAAGTTGTTTGAAGGGTCAGTCTTAACATATCCATGCACTCTTTCAATCGGGGGTCAGATGTACGTAATCCTGTAGATTTGAGTGCCTATTAACAATGAAACAATAATTACTAAAATGTAAAGATATGCTATTACAATCAAGTCCTCTACTGCTCGGTCTCATTTATCAAGATAAGAAACATCCACCACTGTGTTATCAACACAGAGACATTTTGACACCTCAGTGATCCTTTTGTCATTTCCCTTTGCCATTTTGGCTGTGTCTTTAACTTAAGTCATTTGAAATCCACAGTGGTCCAACTACATTTCACACAAGGGCAAATACTACCCTGCCACAGACACAGATGCTTTTAAGCATGCTCTTTTCACAGCAAATAAGGGAGTAACAATACCAGCACGCTCATTTTCTTACTTAATTACAGGAACAGTGCTGGGAAGGGAAAAAAAAAGTTACACTCCTTGTAACCATGTATAATAGAAATTCATTGCTTTGTACTCTTGCCTTTAAAATGTTAAAAAGCCTTGCAGTAGTTAGCTTTCATACAGCACCTTGGAACAGTAAACTTACAGTTATGAATTTATGAACTGGTATTTTTTCTTGTCCTTCTGCAATAGTATAGAAAAGTAGATCTTCTAAGCTAGGAAGGAGACCTTGCTTGATTTTACTGCAAAAAAAAAGAAAACATGTCTAGATTAGTCTTGTACATATTATTTACACAAATTTTTGCATTACTCACAAGGAAACACATTTTCACTACCAATATAACTGCTACCACTAATTTCCAAGAACACTTTTATATTGGTGAACATAAAGCTTAATTCAGCTTTAGGTTGGAAAAAAATGGTAATATTAAAAGTAGCAGACATGTACTTTACAATAGCAAGCATCCTTAACAGCAACACAGTCATGTTTTGGCTGGCATTCACTGACTGCTAAGATTATACTTAGACATTTTTTGGAGTAGATGCATCACATTTCCCTCTTCTTGATGTTCAAGGATAGACACATTACGAGGACAGCAGATAAAGTATTTATAAGACTCAAAGTGCCTCATAATAAAGCTATGAGAGCAGACTGACCCAACATTTCCACAGGGAAGAGAAACAAGCCATGAACGTGTGTATTTTCTTCAAAATAGTCATGGTTTTAGGCACTTCTAGGAGGAGTCCTAAGGCCCTTGTCCTTGTAGGTGTTTATGTAAGGCCCATCAGTTGCAGTGAGAGCAGGCAGGGCCAGCTGCAGTGTAACACAGTAACCTGAACAGCTCAGGCACCAGCAGCAGGAACTCTCACTGTGCACACTTAGCACACCCACACGTGCCATGTTGATAAATGCAGTGACCATTAAAGCTGTATCTATGTAAACAGGTTGGCTCACCAAGCATTTCATCTGTTAACTATTTCACTCTGAGACATGCCTGCATTAAGTGAAATATGAAGGGAGCTTAATAGACTAAGCATCAAGATTCCTTCCAGGGTTGAAATGTGCAACACCGACAGCTTTCCCTCCAAGCCTTTGGAAGTCCTCTATAGGTTTAACCTTGGAGCTGCACCTTTCCCTGGTATTCCACAGCACCCTGCAGCAGGCAGGGGCACAGGTCTGTACTCAGTTATGTTTACCCTGTTAGTAGCATGGCAGCACACAGCTGGAGCACACACTTCACACAGAGGTAGCAAAGGGCTTCAGAGATGCTCTTAGTCCCCTGAAATGCTCGGGTTTGTTTCTACACCAAGTCCATCTAGAGAAAGACAAAGTTCTGATGTCTCACAAGCAATAAATAACACCAAACCAGTTTTCTAGTAAATGTATACATTAGCTGTAACAGAGTATGCAGTTTTGCACAATTTTAGCCATCAATTTCAAAGCTCAATCTTACAATCTAACAATACTTGCAATACTTTGTTAGTATATTGTAATACATAAAAGTTACTGCCTGGAACGAGAACATTCTGTGGCAATTCATCTATTTTCATGCATGCATGTACAAAAAGCAGGTCTAAATTCTAGCCCCAGAAGTTTCATAAGATTGGTGATTCTTTGAAAATCAGTACTTACAAGTACAGAAATACTACAACTAAGCACAGGCCCTATGTAGGCCAATGGAATCTAACATTTAATTCTCCCTCCTCTCCCAGTACTAGCTTACTCTAGCTCGACAACAGGTCAGATTTATGATTCTTTTTAATAAAAATCTGATTATATCCAAATACCCTTTCAAATTTAAGACAACCCCATTTCCCTCCTTTCCTCATAACCAGCAGTAAAAATCTCACTTCTCGTTTTCCAATTTATTTAAAGCACTGTACTTCCATACTAAGAACAGAAGACAGCTTTGTAAGCCAACAGAACTTGCCTTGTCTTCCAGTCTGCATTTTTGTTTGGCTTTTTTTTTTTTTCAAATGATGCTGGCTAACTAACGCACAGACAGGCTGGCAATTCAACCAGCACAAACGCATCTACCTCAAGCAAATTACTCAACACCCTTTTCCTAAGGAAAATCCAAGCCTTCCACACAGCACGTTGCACTTCCAATCTCTGGAGAACAGTCTGTCCAGCCAAGCCAACAGAACCGAAGTGACTAACACGGAATTAAAGCTTCAGCCTGTACCTGCATCCTAACTGCAGCTACGGTACTTTTAATTTTAAAGCCCTGCTTCCCCATTTACACAGAGCACTTAACTAAGCTCCCCAAAGCATCCAGATTTCATGTTTTTAGGAATGTTTCTGCTACAAGACTTGTTAGTGGATTGCTGAAGGTCTGACAGAGGAAAATTCCATATTTCACTTTGACAAAACAAGCCAGCAAACACACTGGAAAATTTTAACCGATAACCTATTTGATGACAAATTCCTGAGCTATTACTCAGAATTTTTACAGCTGTCCCAAACATGGGATTTCCATCTGCAAGGGTGCAGAAAAAAAACTTCCAATATTTGACCAAGACTTTTATCTACCTCTTTGTAACGTTTTAAACTATTACAAAGATGTGCACCTCTCACGACACAAATTCTCTCTTGACAGTTTCCATATCTTTCACATCTGCTGCTGTTCAATATTGGGCCAGTCAGCCTAATTTAACAATGGGTCTGCACTGACTGCCAAAGCAAAGAGGATGGCATTCAATATATTTACAGAAAATTGCTCTTTGTCAGATAGTCCATCTTCTGATAAAGTTTATCAGCTAAATAGAGGTGGAAAAGCTTGCTCTGCAGTTTATCAGGTCAGTGATGTGAGTAACTAATGTTTGCTTAACCTAAAAGCTATGTTTTGGCACCGTGAGCACGCTTAGCAAGATAATGCTGTTCAGCACACAGTGTAAAGAGTTGGGTTTCAAGTCAGGGAACTTGCAACTTCCAAAGTCAAATACAAGTGAAAATTCCACAGTTTATTCCCTTTCATGAATAATGACTTTTAATAGTTGTTTGTCTTCTTAAAAGTAAGCACCAGACTATTACACAACTAGAGTTCTTCAATGGCACTCTAACCTGTGGACAAGGGATACTGGCAGATGTCCACACTGCCTTTTAAATATAAAGACAAAAGCATGCAGGAATTCCAAGCAAAATGACCTTTCAGTTCCTATCAATCCTTCCTTCAGCTGTTCCTTCTCCATCAGTACGATGCTTACACCGGATTCCACAGAGGATTTCATTTCACAAAAAGTCAAATTATAATTTCTACAATATATAGGAAGTTAAATTTCAAATACAGTGAAACATTCCTACATTGTACTGCAAGATTTAACAGGCAAAATGCAGAGCAGGGTTTATAGAACAACAAAAGAAAAAGATACCGCACTGCTAATAACAGATTCAGGTTTATTATTAATCGTAAGGCACCAGTCATAAAAATAGGAGGTCACAACAACTGTCACAAACAACCCTCTCAGGGGTCCCAGTGCTGTTTCCTATCTTCATCAGTGACACAGACAGTGGGACTGAGGGCATTCTCAGCAAGTCTGGAGACAACACCACAGTGACCTGCCTGAGGGACGGGATGCCAGCCAGAGAGCTTGAGAAGTGGACCCCTGTAAGCCTCATGAGGTTCAACCAGGCCAACTGCAAGGTCCTGCACCTGGGTCAGGGCAGCCCCCGCTATCAACAACGGCTGGGGGGTGAGCAGACTGGCAGCAGCCCTGCGGAGGACGACTTGGGGCTGCTGCTGGATGAGAAGCTGGACATGGGCCAACGATGTCCTCGCACAGCCCAGACGCCAACGGCATCCTGGGCTGCACTGTGGTCAGCAGGTCAAGGGAGGTGACTCTGTCCTTTCATTCTGCTCTGGTGAAACCCCAACTCGCAGTGCTGCGTCCACCTCTGGAGTCCTCAGCACAGAAAAGACGTGGACCTGTTAGAGCAGGTCCAGAGGAGGCAACAAAAATGACCAGAGGGCTGGAACCCCTCTCCGATGAAGAAATGCTGAGAGAGTTGGGGTTCTTCAGCCTGCAAAAGAGAAGCTCCACAAAGAACTTTCTGCAGCCTTTCAGTGCTTAAAGGGGCCTATATGAAAGACAGGCACAATCTTTTTAGCAGGGCCTGTTGTGACAGGACAAGAGGTAGTGGTTTTAAAAGAGGGTAAGATTTAGACTAGGTATAAGAAATTTTTTTACAATTAACTGCTTTCTGTCCACTTGCATAGTTACACACTGATCCCATTAACAGCAGTGGGTAACCATTTACCTGAGAACTTACCAAAATACAGATAAAACTACATATTTTAAACTTAGTCCAAAAATGGACAGGTTATACATGTCAAGGTGTTTCTGGTAAAACAAGAACTGCTGCTTCAAAACCTTAGCCTCTAAGGAAGGTCTGAAAAGGTCTGCTGGAAGCTTCTAACAGTTTCTTGCATCTGCAAGTAGTGCAGCAACAGGGAGATAAACCACTGCCCAGCTACTACAGTTACTCCTCTGGAATCTGGCTTGGGTGCAAAAGCAAAATTAATTCTCAAGGTTCTCTCCAGAATTCATGCCTACCCTTAAAAAGGAGGGCTATCACTTCCCTCTCATTTTAAGAAAAAGAATTAAAAATTAATGAAACACTTCCATTAACCATTTTGCTATATTCTATATACTAGTACCCACTCCTATTGCAATTTAGCTGTTCTTTAAAAATCAAGGTTGCTTACATTTTGCTCCTCCCTCTCACCTTAGTAATTTGTAATTATTGAATTTTGTTAATATTAATTATTAAATTTGTCCCTTGGAAATAGCTTATACCAAGATAAACTATGCTTGACCCTACTATTGGCCAGTTTAAGATGCAAGAACAATGCACACTTATACTGAAAGTAAAAGTTGCTCTCTTTTGCACAGTTCTTTTGGAAACAGAAATAAACACTATTAAATTTTATACAAGCTTCCGATTTAGGATTGTAATATGGTTTTGTGTCCTAATGATTTAGGCATGAACATAGATATGATTGCATTTTAATCCACAGACTTCATTAATCAAAACTACTAGCTCGTGTCCACTCTCAGTTTAAGCAAAAATGTTTTTCCTTTCCAAAATACATTAAGTTCCAGGTGAATACACAGTGAAGGCTGGATAGCAGGGATAAGGAGGTGGCAGAAGATGTTTAGGAAAAAATGCACAGGAGAATGTGGTTATGCAATGGGATACTAGCTATTTCATCAGCCACAGACCTCAAACTATTCTCTCTGTGAGGAATTAGAACTATTCCAAATTTCTGTACCATCTTTGCACAAAACGTTTTAGGTTTTCACTTGCAACTCCTACTCTCTGTACGTGAGGACTGTCAAGCAAGCAAACGAGCAAGAAAATCTTAGTACTGTCTTGTGACACCTAGGTTATTCCAGTGTCCTAGAACCACGACCTTAGGACCAAAAAGAAGAAAAAAATCCCCCCAAATAAGCAAACAAACAAAAAGCATAAAAAGGACTCCTGTCTTCCCATTTGAGTGCACAAACCACCTGCCAACCACAACTCAAATGCCACACACTGCTGGATGGCAAAGTGCTGGGCTTGGCAGCACACACACACTGCACTGACTTAGCCCAGTTGTCAGGTTAGTCCAGAAACCTGCCTTTTGAAGAACTTCACTTTTCTTCTGAACCCTACACTCTGTCTTGATACAGTAGTGATTACCTCATGCAATGGGCCATTTGCAAATGCTTAAGGAAGATTTTCATGATTCTGCATGCAAAAAAAACCCAAAAAGCATTAAAATATCCAGCAGGCTGGCTAATGTGCCACCAGGAATTCCTGCAGAGCCTGAACTGAAACTTCCAGCTTTTTCCTTGTACAGAACTATGCTATATGTTTTATGTAACTGTTCCTTGTTCATCTTGCAGTAAGGAAACAAACATCAAAGAACAAACATCTGACTTCCAAATACATCCTTTTAACAAAAGCCAAAAATGATTAGAAGTGTAAAACTGGTTTGTGACTACATAGTTTTACCAGACATACTAGAAATGATAGGAGTTTCCTAATTTATGCTAGCTGTAGGAAGCTGTTCTAAAAGCTCAATTTAAGAAAAATGGTGTATTTTTTAGCAAGCGTCCTTTTTAACATCCTCAAAAACCCCTCAAGGTTGGCATATCATTTTTTTCCTAAGTTTTTAATGGTACTGTCTATTCCTCATTGAAAATGAAAGTACAGACTTCCCAAACCACATCTACTTGAGATACAGCTGAATAATTTTTTGTACCAAAACATTATGTATAGAACTAATCCAGAGAAGAGACTTCATGTACATTGAACACTAGTATAAATATAACAATAATACACATATGCTTGTGTATGATATTGTGCATGTTTATATAATGCATGTATTTTTTAAGGAGTTTGACAGGAGAAATTTTAAGTGTGCCTTTAAAGGAGACTACATCCCACTGGAACAAAAGGCTTGAACCAAGCTGAGCAGCTAAGACACTTGGTGGGAGGAAGGGCAGCAGAACAAAAAGATAGCTTCTTTCCCTGCCAGGCATGCTGAAGGAGTTCACACCAAAAAAACCCAAGACAACCACAAAACCACAATGCAAAAGAACTATTAATGAGCGAAGGACTGAAGCCTTCCTGACTGGCCTCATGGAGTCTTTTCCAGACTTCCTCTTAGCACTAGGCTAACAGAGACTTTGCTCAGTGTTGAAACAAGGTACTCCTTTCTTGGCCTTATTTCCTCTGTCTTTTACTTTTTTTTTTTCACCTAGGTAATAAGCATGGCAAAGCCTGGGAAAGCAGCTTGGGTTTTGATTTTAACTACGCCGCCCCAGAAGTGTGCAAAGAAGACACACGGGCTGCCCACAGGAAAGCCAAGGGGCACATTCCAAAAGCACACAAAGGGGATGGGCCTTCAGGAGGCTTGCAGTTAAGCTGTCAAACTTCTCCTAAAAGGTTATCAGACAGACTAAGGGAGCCTAGGTTTAAACACGCAATGGGCAAACTGTCAGATGGGGGGTGGGATATGAACAAGAGTTTTTCAAGACCTGCATAATGCCGAGAACTGATAAGAGCAGAGCACTGAGAACCATCAATCTGTTTACCTCACCACTATGCTCCATCCCCGGTGTCCACTACTGGTCACTACCAGGGACACAACCTGGAGCTAACACACCTACTCCTGACCAACTTTATGAAGAATATCTCAGGTTCTAAGTGAAGGACTATTCACTTAACAAACTAGAGCCTTATCATTCTATTACCTGCGTGTACCTTTGCCACTAAAGGGCAAATCAGGACCCGCTGGCACAGGGACACGTTCTGCAGCACCTATGAAGATCTACACACACCACTGACGGCTGCCAAGATCTATCCTCAGCCACGCTAGCTGTAGGGGTGGAGAAGACAGCGCTGCAAAACTTACGACACGGAACTACACAGCACCTACCCTGCCTTGAATAATTAATGCAAGATGACACAGCTTCCACATCTCTGGGGAAGTAGTCGAACCAAGAAGCAGCAGTAGGAAAAAAAAAATAAGAAATACAAGGCACTAATACACGCTGTTTCCTCGGAGCCAAAGCACAGGTGGGGACCCCGGCCCGGGGAGGGCATGGCCGGCACGCAGCAGCCCCGAGAGGCACC